TAGTTAATATAGTTTAGTTCAAGTAAAGAAAATGTTTTTTTTTTTATGATTTTGGTTTTAGTTTATAATAACCCTGGTGCTGAAAACTGAATTTGCAGTAGATAGATTCATCGTTGACATTAATATACTGAGAGAGGAGAAAAGTAGGAAGCATCTAACCCTGAAGTCAGGGTGCCATTGCTTACTATATGTTTACAGGTAGTGCATCAAATCTACACATTGTGTGCTTTATGTCACAAAGTGTGTGATCTGCTCACAAATAGATTTAAAGGAATAATGCACCCAACAATGGAAGTCCATATAACAGAAGTCAAAGGTCACCAAAAGAGTTTGATTACCAAAATTCTTCAGAATATCTTCTATTGTGTTCTGCAGAAGAAAGAATGTCATACAGGTTTGGAACAACATGAGGGCGAGTAAACGATGACTATTTTTTGAAGTCTGTTGGTAAAAGAAGCATAATGTAAGTACCTATTTCTCACATCTTTATGAGCAATCAGGTTTTGTAGAAAGTTTTGTAGGCCCAGTTGTCTCTCTTCTAGAAATTCAGCGCTGAAGTTCTTGAACCAACGCTTGGGTGGTAGCTCAAAGTTAACCGAAGGAAACACCTCCTTGAGCTGAAAACACACACATAAAGAGTCACCCACATCTAAAAAAAGGAAATGCTAAGAAAATCTAAGCATGTGTCCATTACTGCACTGTCAGCTGACATGAGTCACCTGCACCTGACCTTGTCATGTAGTCGAGAAAAGTCTGTGTATCGTCTAAAAATGTGCCAGCTCTCTTCTGGCGTCCGCTTCACTAAGATCTTGTAGACCTGAGAAGTGCAAAAAGGGAACATCATGTCCTCTATATCATTAAAAACTGCCTTTGAATCATTTTCCAAGTGTTTCCATGTGATTCTTAAAGGGATAGTTCACCTAAAAATTTAAATTCTATCATTTACTCACCCTCAAGACTTTTGTTCATCTTCGAAACAAGAATAAATGTATTTTATAATGAAACTGACAATTCAAAACGTTCATAAAAATGATGTAAAACTATTCCAATTCAGTGATTCAAACCAAGTATTCTGAAGAGACATGATCATTTTAAATGATTTAATTTTGGTTTTTATTCACATATAAATATCTGATTAATGCACATTGATTCATATGGATCATATTTACAATCATCAAAGTTTTGGTTACATGGACTTTCAATGGAGAGACCGAAATCTCTCAGGTTTCATAAATAATATCATAATTTGTGTTCCGAAGTTACGGTTTCGGAACGACATGAGTTCATTTTTGGGTGAGCAATGCCTTTTTATTTAGGTTTGTTTTGAAACAAAGGCACAAAATGACTGAAGAAGACACTTGTATGATACTTTTATGATGCTTTTGTTCCCTTTTAAAGTGTGAAGCGCCAGTCCCAATTGTTTTAATTGCAAGTATAATAATATTATTATTATTAATATTGTGTTTCACACGGAAGAAACAAAGACATGCTGGTTTGGAACAACATGAGGGAAAGAAAACGATGACAGAGTTTCCATTTTGGAGAGAAATATGCCCATTGAGGGCTATACATCTAAAATATGAACAACAGACAATCTAATATAAATTCAAGACAGGAGAGTGAAAAGAACCACAAATAAGTAAATCCTTACTGTAAACTTTGTCTTTTCCTCCATGACCTTATATCCAAGCAAGGTGACCTTGAGTGTCCTTTCTTCATTGCTTCCTCTGCAAAATCCATTGCTGTAATACTCCATCACATTCCCTTTCCTTACAACATCGGGACTGTGGTTCTGGTAAAACATGTTGTATCTTCTGCAAAGGACCTGCTGAAAAGAAAAGAGTCATAAATCTAATGTTAGCAGAAGTTGACTGAATGTCATCTTCTGCATACCTCACTATTAAGAGAAGTGAATCAGGTCACAAATGAGACAACCAAACCACACCTTCTAAAGTCATTTGTATTTGCACGGTATGGTAAATGTGGATCTACAAAAACAATACATTTCCAATATTTCCCCCCCCCTTATTTCATTTTAGCTACATTTTATTAGTTATCTGAAACAGTATTGCAGAATCATGTAGCATCTGAGAAAAACAATGACAAAGTATCAATGCATTTTGTAATGTAGTTAGTCATTTAATTAATGAATAATTAAAACTGGTCCATTCTCCCTCCCTCCTGTTTAATGACTGGTTTCACAACACCATAAAAGTTCCCCAATGACTGCCTTTGTCTTGCATTTTGTTGTTAGGTCTGAAAAAATAATGAACACATCGCTGCTGGTATCCATCAGGACAGATGTGAAATCCTAATGCAGGATTTACTGCTAGGCACTAGATAGCGCCATTGGAACTTGTGGTGGGTTTGAAATTCACCGGATGGTAACAAGTCCTTTTTAGAAATGCATTTAAATCAGTCTGTAAATAAACGAGAAATCTCCATTGAGTTACATCATTTATTCTGCAGTTTTCATGATAAACTAGCCATTTTTTATGATATGTTAGCTACTGAAAGTCAGTGTCTGGTATGAATATGGACTAGCATACGTATAATAAAATAGCTAGAAATCAGTCGAAATGTATCTCAATTTTTTCTAGAATGCATTACATACTTGATTTTGCTAAATGTACTCTAACTGTAATGTAGTTTTGGTTGTGTGTGTGTGTGTGTGTGTGTGTGTGTGTGTGTGTGTGTAGGCATACCAGACAGAAACATCTGTATTTCATTCTGACCTTTCTTAATTTCATTCACAACCTTTAATGATAAATATGAAGTATAAAATGTCTCAGCAGAATGGGCACCCCACCATGTATGATAATCTGTTTCAATCTCTCAAAGCAATAATTCCCCCATGTATGTCCAGAAGTTAAGTATGTTCAGCTCTGTTTAATTCTGTGAATGCCAGCCGGAGGGCTGAAAATATTTCCATTTTGCTTTGTTAAACCTGTAAAATATATGACAAAAAAATATTAGAGTTGTCAAAAGATTTCAATAACTTTTCTTCATCTCATTGTTTTTTTCCAGTTCCTTTTTTATGAAAGAAAACGAAATAATTCGTTTAATGTATTACATTGCACGAATGAAATTCAGAATGCTTGTTTTTCACCTAAAGCATTGTTTTTAGGTGACTTTAATAATTAATGCTATTGCTAAATGATATCCAGAATAATTAACCCCTTAACTGTCACCGTCCCAACTGTGGGATGTTTGGCACTCTTTTTTGTTGTTGTCCTTTTTCTCTATGAAATCTTTTAGTAATCATCATGAATTATATATAATTTGAAAGCTTAGAAGCCCAAGATTCATCCTGTGAAAACCATTTTGAAATCAGACATTGTGTTACCATGGAAATCTCTTTTCTTATGTTTCGGTATCACATATTTTAGCTATCATCGTAAATTAGATTATCATTTGAAAGCTTAAAAATTAATGATTCATCCTGTGAAAACCATTTTGAAATCAGACATTGTGTTACCATGGAAATGGTACTTTAAAATATTTTGGCAGTCTCCTCCCCCTTAGTGGGCTGTGTCAAGTGTCATATTACCAATTGTATTAAGGTATTTTACAATCAAAACTTTTTATAATCTTGACAAAATACATATCATTGGAAAGGTCGGAGTCTCAGGATTACATATTTCGTGGTTATTTTGAAGATAGAAATCTAGACATTTGTGACAGAAAAATGCATTAAAAAATTCAATGGAGTTTTGATGGCACCCGGTGGCTGTTTGTGGTATAACGCCCTAAATAAACTCTCACAAGAACCTCAATTTTTTTCATATCAACTTCAAATTTGGTACATAACTTATTTAGACACAAGGCTTTAATTTTATACCAATTTTAGAGTAAAACCTGTCATGTAAAATATTTACTATATATAAAATAAAATAAAATTAGTATAGCGCATTTTCTTTACAGTAAATTTAAACATCTATAACTTTTTGATACTTGAATTTGATACTTGAATAGTGGAAAAAATTCCACTTTTGCAATAATCTGCTGATTTTCTTCTTTAAAAAGAGACCAACTTTAGGTCTGTATTCCAAAGTGTTCATAAATTACAACAATTTAAGTTTGGATAGTGCACTTTATTGCCTATTTTAAAAAATGGGGGGGTGACACAATATCACAAGCAAGAATGTGTTTTCTGATTAGATTGCATCACAACTGATATTCAGAACAAAATCACAACTGTGCAATATTGCTTTTATAACAACAGTATACCATAATAACAATGATGACGATGATGATGTAAAAGCTAATATCGAGTAAGACACAGTATTAGACATACTATTTCCAGTTGCTTTGTCTATTTTTGCTGCACCGATAAAAACAGTACTAAACAAAGCCAAGGTAAGTGTTTTGGTTCAAAAACCTTTTATATTGTGCTGCTTGAAAGTCTGTTCACATCCCAATAGCAATCAATAAGTTAAGTGGTCTACATAAATTTATATTTATATCGTCTATGGAAGGCGTAGGACCATAAAATGTTCGTCCAATCATATTTCTCGGTCCGAGGGCTATGATAGGCCATCCTAACTGATTGCAGTGTTTTCGAGTAACATACAGTGGCACTGAATCAGTGCTGACAGTCGCTTGTTGCCATCTACTGGCGAAACGATGCAATTTGCAAAAAAATTAGTCACTTAATAATCACCCACTCTGACACTCATTTGAAACATTTGAAAAGCAGTAACATTAAGTTTTATAGCTGGGCGTTTCAAATTTCATATTGATAGATGGCAGTCTTTCTTCCACAACTGATGTAACTTTACATTAAAAAATACCAAATAACTTACTCCTATACACCACATGTCCAGTAAAATACTTGGTTGTTATTGGCACTGTCATCAACATTAACAGAATGAGCAATAATGTAACTCAGGGCACTTCCTCTCCCACTTCAGGTTACCAAGGCAACCAGCTCCATCCTCTGCATGCCAGCTTGTTGTTATCATTACTGAACCCAGAACCACAGCCAATGATGTACCTGAGGATGGAATTTATTTATATTGCATGTCAGCATACATTTCTTTAAAGTTTCTCTGTTTCTTATAACAGGCTGGATGCAGTGCCATATTACTGTGAGGAAAAATCTCTTGGGAATTCCCTTTGTTACATCATAATGGAAAAACCCAGGAAGCTTTCATGGGTCAAAAACCTATACAAACCTCAGACCGACGTCTTTGACCATTTTTTAAACAGTTCAAATAAGTTCAAAAACGTGGACGATAAAACACTATACATAGCCTAACTATATTATATTTAATTGAACTATTATAAACAAACAAAATAAATAAACACGATAGCAAGCGGCAGTCGAAAATGTGTATCGTGTATAAAATTTCGGTAACACTTTACTTGAAGGGGTGTGCATTAGACTGACATGACACCTTCATAATCATGACATGTGTCATGATTATGGTGGTGTCATGTCATGATTATGGTGTCATGTCAGTCTTATGCAAATTACCAAAATTTCACAGCAAACGTCCAGATAATGATATTTTCGTTTTAAAGTTTTAAAAGTTAAGTTATGTGTAAACGTTAATATACGCTTAATAACAACAAAAATAATGACAATGTTCAGGTTTGGTGAATGTACCCCCCAAAAATGTCATCAAATTAAAATGTGGAACTCTTCGAGACCCGGAAGCTGAAGTCACAGTCGTGTGATCGGCGTTGTTTTTTTCCCCTACCTGTTTTCCGAAAAATCCCGCCCCCTACGACAGGATTGGCTGTAAGGGTTTACAAGACGTCTGTGATTGACTAGTTGAGATGTCATTCATCTATCCGCATGTCAAGGGCGGGACTACACGGGTGGTTACACACACAAAAAAACATAGCGTTGCGGTCTTAGTCCGACCCACTCATTCACACACCTGCGAAATATTTACCGAGCGCTCAGCCACCACCACGACCACCCCTCGTAATCGTTAAATGTCAAACTGTGGTGATTTTATTTTATTTTGGCGGTTTGTTTTATGGCGTGATATAAAATGCGTTGTTCGGATTGGGGGCGTGTCTCCAAGCGCGATCCGTAGGACACATTTCTTTTCCATCTGTTGTTTCAGCGACACTTTTAACAGGGATATTTTGACTACATAAATTAGTAGTCACCTAAACGCCCGTCTCTTGGTAGTGTAGATTAGAGCGCCTTCACAACATGTGAGTTAGATACGTGCGCGATATTGTCTCTGTGAGGGTTTTCAGCTGTAGCAGTGCGCTTTCAGTTCCCCTTTCTACTGAAGCTGAACGGGCCCGTCTCATCTCAAAAATATCCTCAAACATGGAGCACACCGGCTGCGTCAACATCTGCAGTCTCACCAGCACCTTACCGGTGATCCCGTATCGGAAATTAACGGACCTGCACTATATCAGTAAGGGAGGCTTCGGGACCGTGTTCAGGGCGCAGCACAGCGACTGGCGCACCACAGTAGCGATCAAGTGCTTGAAACTGGATTCACCGGTTGGTGAGAGGTGGGTTCAGTCAGCGCACTTTGCTTCCTTATTCGCTCAAATGCACGATGATTGCTGGGCTTTTTATGCGCTGCGATCGTTTCAGTCTGGTATGGCTATAAATGCTGGTTGTTGCAGGTTTTTAGGAAAGGTCGCTGATCTGAACTGCTATGCAGCACTTACGTACATACGTTAAGTATGCGGTCAGACAGCATGCTTTAAAGGAACTGCAGTTGATAACAGTCATTCTTGAGAAGTGGGACAAAACGGTGCAAAATTGAAAAAATAAAACCTTGTACTCAGACAAATGAAACTACATTTATGTATCTTATATGTACTGAGCTATGCTTTGATACAACCTCCCAACTTTTCTCTTTTTTAACAAAATGTGCTTTTTTACCTTGGACTGTGTAATATAATTTCAACTTTATCTTAGCATTCAAGATGTTTTTAAAATTTCAAAACATATTCTCGTGTCAGCAGACAGATTACACTTTCACATGTGACCAACAATTCCACAACAAATATAAAATTATCTAAATATTTCAAATAATTTCCTCAGAAATTGGAAGATGGTGTTGACATATCATGGCTGTGACAAAGGAAATATTAACATTAGGATTTAAAATATTCTAAAACTAAAACTTAGCAGAGCCTGTCTGACACTGATGTACTCTGCAGAGGTGAACTGTGGCAAGGGGGTCCTTTAGAGTGACAGCTGCCCCTGATATTCCCTGATTTTATTACATTTTATTGAATGTCTGCCGGTGTTGACAAAAAGTGGGGACACAACTTTAAAATCTTATGAAACATGCATGTCATTAAAACAACAACCTTGCTTTGATAGGAGATATTAAGTGTTGCTTTTAATAAAACAAGCTCTTTTTCATCATTACAATTTTTTTTTATCCATTTTATTGCATATGAATGATTGAACCCTTCTCTGTGGACACACTGTTTTAGATGTAGTGAGAGGACATTAAGAAACACAGATTTGGTATAATAATGAGAAAATTAAATTGAAGGTGATAATTGTGTTAAATGCATTCTATTATTAATCCCTCATGACATTTAAAATCGAAAATATTTTTATTTTTTAAAGCTAATAGCAGCTACCCTTGCTGGACCTGTTTTGTCCCACGTCTCAAGAATGACTGAACTGTATGTTCAAGACGTTTGAATGTATTTTCAGTAGGGATATGATGGGCCACGAGCTCTTTTGTGACAAACCCTGACTGTTTTGTGCTAAAAAGCACAGAGTTACAGCTGAGAAGTTTCTAAGATCATGGAAAACCTGGACATGTCTTGGGATGTCATTTCCAGACCTGGAAAAGACGTGTAAAGAAGTGAAATTCTAAAAAAAATATATAATAATAAAGCTAAACTTTAAAGTCATGAAAATATTTTGAGTGAAAGTTTAAGGCGATTAAAGTTCACTTAAAGGTCTGTCATCTTTTACTCACCCTTATTTTTTTATTTATTTATTAATTTTTTTCTGTGGAACACTAAAGGAGAATTTCAAGATAAAGTCACTGTTCTAGAGATGCACAATATCTGTATCATAACGTTTATCTATGTTTTTAGAGATGTTTTTTTTTTCAGAATCATCCTATATTGGATAATTAATGTTAAAAGTGGGGCAAATGAGCATCTATGTTGTCCTCTATCGCTCGGTGATAGTTTGTCATCATTTCTCACTCATATAAGACTTTTGTTCATCTTCGAAACACAAAGAACATTGTTAAGAAATTGTAAAAGTTATCCATATGAATCAAATTTTATTAGCTTTTTTTGAAACACAAGAGTTTTGGGTGACTTTCAGTGGAGAGACAGAAATCTCTCTGGTTTCATTGAAAATATGTGACCCTGGACCACAAAACCAGTCTTAAGTGTCAATTTTAAGAAATTGAGATTTATACATCATCTGAAACCTGAATAAATAAGCTTTCCATTGGTGTATGGTTTGTTAGGATAGGACAATATTTGGCCGAGATACAACTATTCTGAAAATCTGGAATCTGAGGGTGCAAAAAAATCTAAATATTGAGAAAATCGCCTTTAAAGTTGTCCAAATAAAGTTCTTAGCAATGCATATTACTAATCAACAATTAAGTTTTGATATATTTACGGTAGGAAATATACAAAATATCTTCATGGAACATGATCTTTACTTAATACCCTAATGATTTTTGGCATAAAAGAAAAATCTATAATTTTGACCCATACAATGTATTTTTGGCCATTTCTACAAATATACCCCAGCGACTTAAGACTGGTTTTGTGCTCCAGGGTCGTCACATATGTTCATTTGTGTTTTGAAAGATGAACAAAAGTCTGTGAGGTGAGAAATGATGACCAAATTTTCATTTTTGGTGAACTGACCCTTTTAAAAACAATAACATTTCACTAAAATTGTTAAATGTAATCTTTAGCGAATCCCAAAATTACATGATTTTAGACTGTATACAATAACATTGAGGTTTATAAACTCACTTGTAGCATTTAAAGTGATTGATTTTAGTTTACTGTGTTTAATTTTCAATGTATTCAGAATACAATTTAATTTTAGTATCGTCTATTATTATGAAAATAATGATCAGCTTATCAGTATTGTCCAGAAGTGTAATATTGTGTATTTTAATATTTAATATAATTTTAATATACTCTTTCCATGCTATTATAATGAATGGCCTTTGAAAATGAAACTGAAGCACCATAAAAGTATCTTAATTTACGAACTGTTCCAAGATGCCAAGATTGAACGAAGTCCATGGAAGAATGGATAATGCAAGGAATAAAGGAAAAAATTGTGTAAATTCATTGGTCAAAAGCTGTGGGAAACCAGGCAGTTAATAACTTGCACTGTATCTCATGATATTGTCTGACAGAGAAACCCCCAGTCCTTGTCTAATCATTCATCTTTTTTGCAGGGAAAGGAACTGTTTATTGAAGGAAGCTGAGGTTCTTCACAAAGCTCGATTTAACCACATCATCCAGATCTTTGGGGTGTGTAATGAGCCCGAGTTCTTCTGCATTGTGACCGAGTACATGACCAACGGATCACTGGATGAGCTCCTGCATGAGGTATAAATGTACAAACAGCATTCCTTTTACATGACATACTTCTTGTTTAGTCTGGTAGTATTAGTGTAAGAATTCACTTTGAGTTTGAGTAATGCGCAGTTTCACTTTCTGCTTTATGGCATTGAGGTTCTTGAATGTTCGCTTCTGTATTTTCTTATTGCGTTACAGAAAGATATGTACCCAGTGGTGGCCTGGCCATTGAGGCTGCGTATCCTTTATGAGATCGCTTTAGGAGTAAACTTCCTCCACAATATGACGCCACCCCTTCTACACCATGACCTTAAAACTCAGAACATCCTGATGGATGGGGAGTACCATGTTAAGGTTTGCTTGAAAATGTCTCCATACCCCATTTTATTACACTTTCACATATGTGTTTGGATGCATTTGTAGATATATTTTCCTGGAACTTGCAAATGAAAGCTGTTATTGAAGTATTTGAACGTCAAGGTGATCAACTATCGATGTTTTTGTTGGAATTTGAGCTCTTGTTGTAAAGTGCTGAGCTCCATATTTGTCTGAATGTTATCAGTGTCAGTATCTTGTAAGCCTGCTCTGCTCATCTAGCTATTCTTTCCTGAACGTTTCATGTTTCTTTCACAAGTTTGAATGTCTTACTGCTATAAAAAGCCTCTTTTGTTCCATTTTAAACATTATAAGTGAATACTCATACTTTTGAATTATGCCTTAAAGGGGTCATATGATACGATTTAAATTTTTCCTTTCTCTTTGGAGTGTTACAAGCTCTTGGTGCATAAATAAGATCTGTAAAGTTGCAAAGACTTAAGTCGCAAATCCAAAGAGATATTCTTTATAAAAGTTCAGAGTCAATCACGCCTACCTAAAACGGCTCGTTCTAACATGCCCCAACATGTCTACGTCACGATGTGGGAAGATTTGCATAACGCCGCCCAAATGTTCACGCAAAGAAAGAAGGCGTAACTTTTATTCTCGCTGTAGTATTGTTGTTGCCGCCGCCGCCATGTCGTGAAGGCGCTGTGTGTTTCGTTCTGAAAGCGAAACTACTTTATTTTGTCTTCCAAAAGAGGCCGATATCCGCTTCGTCATGCCTAGAGCTGATCCGTGCTGGTCGCTGAGGAAATACATCAACTTTGCGCTGTGGATCGCCGGATCGGCTTTCACCGTGGATGAAGCGGAGTCCAGCCCGGGGTCGTCACATGTGGTTGCCGCAAGCCCGCCGGACGCTCCTTCGTTGAATCTGCCGGCCGCGCCGTTCTCAAGCCCGCCGGCCGCCACTCACTCAAAGCCTCCGGCCGCCGCTCACTCTAGCTCGCCGTGTGTGACGCTGTGTGTTTCGTTGTGAAAGCGAAACTACTTTGTTTGGTCTTCCAAAAGAGGACACGACTAGAAATCAGTGGTTAAGTTGTATTTACAACACTGTTCCAGAACAGTTTAACCCAAATATTCAGATGTGTGCAGCGCATTTTATGGAGGACTGTTTCCTGATCCTGATAGAGTAGACTACAATGCCGGCTGTTCTGACTCACAGACTGTAAGTACGTTTTTTATATTTAAAGAATTTGAATACAACAGTGCCGTCGGTAGGCAAATGACGTAACCGGTGTTGCGGCTTAACACCGGTATAACCGAAAACACCATCTATCGCAGCAAGCCTAGACTGGAGCTCTAAAGCTTCAAAAAAGGACACAAAAGTATCATGGAAGTTTTTTAAATCCATAGAATAGTTTTGCATGTGGAGCAGACTGACATTTTAGTTGTTAGTCACTAAAAAGTCTTGACATGCAGCCTTTAAAACCCATGTCTTCTTTCATTGTAATTGGAAATGGATAAAAAAATGCTAGCACAACATTTTGTTTCTGTTGTTTTACAAAAAAGTTTGAAAAAAAAACAAGGGTTAGAAAATGCTGATGAATGTAGTACAGTGGTGCCCTTTTTAATTTTGTATCTTGACAGACACCGTTGGAAAACCTATATTGTTTTTTTTTAATTCAACCATTAATCAGCATACATTTTGAAAGTATTTTGAAAGTATGTAATATATTTGGTCACACTTCAGTTTGGGGACCAATTCTCTCTATTAAGTGGCTGTTAACTATGATTTTTGCTTCTGTAAACTCCAATATGCCAGTAGTAGGCATGCTAATAAGCAACTCGTTAATAGTGAGAATCGGTTCCTAAACTAATGCATTACCATATATTTTGTTGGGATTTCACATTGGATTTTCTGATCTAATGTGCATCTTGTATGTCTGTGTTTGTGAATAGATAGCTGATTTTGGCTTATCTAAATGGCGCCAGCTCTCTATCACTAAAGGGTCCGGCTCCAAACCTGCCGAAATGGGAGGCACAGTCATCTATATGCCACCTGAGGAGTATGAACCTTCCAAGAACCGCAGAGCTGATGTCAAATATGACATGTACAGGTCAGTTTCTGTAGATTTGATAAAGCTTCCAGTTTTGACCAGATGGGTGAACTTCTCAGTTCCAAATTCTTTCAACTACATGCTTTTAATGTACTGCTCTCTCTCAGTTCCTGTATTTTTTGAGGGGGCATCCCCTTAAGACGTTCAGATGTCCTTATTGCACCATGGCCCGAGTCTAATGCTGACTCCGCAAAATTCCTGTCAGATGAGGGACATGTTCCACCCTTAACTCATCTTCAGAGTTCATATGGTGAGCCTGGAAATGTCAGGGAATTTAAAAAGTGATTTCCAGGCCTGCAAAAGTCATGAAACGTTTCTAGTTATTCTTACCTCTAAAATATTTTATCATCTATAAAATCCTTATCCAAGGCATAAGTGAATGGAAAAACAACAGATGTGCAAACTCTTTGAGTGGGAGGGAGGAATATAGCAGTACAGTATATTGGAAATGATAAAATACTTTACCAATTCTTCAGAACAAAGAGAGAGGCTGGGAAACAGAACAAAAAATTAAACCAGTTCCTGGGTTTAATCAAAGCTCACCAGAACTACCCATGAAAGAGGCCTTTATTTTGTCCTTCACTGCTCTGGTCAAAAAAAGGGAAGTGATTTAGAAGCTAAATGTCAACCTGTCTTAGTCAGAGGGCATGTTGAAATTATTACACAGATAGGACAGTGTGTGTTTTATCTCCAGAGGGGGATTGCCAGATGTGGATGCAGCAGTGAAACCGTTCTCTCATCTGTTCTGTGCTTCCTTTTTCAGTTACGCCATCATCATGTGGGAAGTGCTTTCAAGACGGATACCATATGAAGGTAGGGTCCATCATGAATTATAGAAAAGTGTACCAATGGGTTCCACAACAGTCACATAGCTCATGTCTTATGTTACATTCTGAAAAATGTTACATTCTTGAAAATAGTGAATAACGCATTCTTTTTAATCAGATCTTTTCTGTGAATCTAGTGATCTGGTTTAAAAAACCGCTCACGAATCGGACTGAATATCAGTTCTTGGGTTAACAGTCTTTCAGAGTGTTTTCTTAATAAAGCACAAATATAGAAATATGTTTACAGCTTGACTGTATGACATTTTTATCAGCTGTCACATGAAAAGAGTTTATTCAAAGATTTTATTTCTGCTAGTTGCCAAGGCAAAGTGGTCACACTTTAGTTTGGGGGCCAGTTCTCACTGTTAACTAACTATTAACCAAGATTCCGCTACAGTAAACTCCTAATTTGCTGCTTATTAATAATTAGTAAGGTAGTTGTTAAATTTAGGTATGTGGTGGATTAAGGGATCTAGAATATGCTCATGCAGAATAGTGCATTAATGTGTGCTTTATAATTACTAATAAACAGTCAATGTGCTAGTAACAAGCATGCTAATAAGCAACTAGTTAATATTGAGAATTGGTCCCTAAACTAAAGTGTTACTGGCAAAGTTTCTCATTTTCATTTAGTTTAACTTGATGTACTAAAATGACTAAAACGAAATAAAAAAAACATTTAAACAAAATTATTTAATTTGTAAATAAATAAAAAAAATGCACAACAAAATTACTAAAACTTCAACTAAAATGAAAAGGAAATCTAAAATATAAAAATAAAAACTAATTCAAAATATTGATAAACTATACTAGTATTTGAAACTAACACAGCAACCAGTGAAGTCAGAATCATTGTACAGCCCTACTCACTCAACACTAAGCACATTTTGCTGTGTCATGTTTTTGATTCCAAAAAACGATGACACAGATTTCCTCTCATGGACACTTCCTCCTCCGTTTCATAATCTGCAGCAGTCCGTCTTTCCAGGCAACATTCCTCAATTCTCTGACACTGTCCTCTTGTTCTCTCTGTGAGCAGAGGCCACCAATCCCATGCAGATCATGTTCAGCGTTCTCCGCGGATCGCGACCCGACACGGACCTGGACAGTCTGCCAGCAGACATCCCCAGCCGAGAGACCCTCATTAACCTCATGACCTGCGGCTGGACCGCCAACCCAGATGAACGGCCCTCCTTTCTCAGTGAGTGTCAGCCCGCGCCCCACCTTTGACCTTTCCCCTGATTTTCGCAATCCCTCTGAACTTGTTTGCTTCATGCTGTCACAATCCAATAGGGTGACCTGTTCTTGTGGTTTGTTAATCATTTTAAATGTCTAACCACAATTCAGTCATTGGTCTTTACTGGCAATTTTGTCATATCATGATAAAATTTGGTGTTACAAGACAAGTAGAAATGTTGAGTCATTACAAGTAAAGTTTTCTCTTTTACAAACCCTGCAACAGATCAGGGGAATGAGGAAATGACTGTGAACCGACAGAGAGCAGTGGGGTTATCTTCATGTGTCATTTATCTAGAATTGTCTATTAACCAGATAAGGTTTAATAAATCAGTAATTAAAGCAAACCGTGTGAAAGTCTAATATCTAGATTTAGGCATTGATTATTTTTTTAACATGCCCCATTAACAATAGACAATTTTATTTCCTAGTAAGCAGCAGGCTATGTTGAGTAAGATCTTTTGGCACAGACGTGAGTTCATTTGAGTACTATTGCTATTATATTCAATAAAACGTAAGCATAACTTGAGCTTGTATTTCAGGCATTTAACCAAAAACCTATTCAAAAAAAAAAAAAAAGCCATTCAGAAAATTCAACTGAAATTGCTCAAATGCTTACTTGTTTCCGGGTTTTGGCCTACAAAAGTGCATCATCCTGCATCACTGTATTGGTGTGAACTCAACTCTAGGGAGTGAACCATTATTGATGGTGTGCAAGTTATAACAGGGTTTCCCAAACTGAGATTCAGAGCTGTTGAAAAGCTGATAATAAATTAAATCATAAAAATGTAAAATAAAGGTGAATATTTGTAAAATAAAAAGTAAAACGCTTACTAAAAAAGATGAAATATCAAATAATTAAATAATAAATATTTTATTTGTTTAGCTGCTTTGTCACGTTTTAAGTGCGCGCACTCTCTCTGAGCGCGCCCATCCGGTTTTGTGCGAGAGCAAAGGAAATCTGCGTGCGAGTGGAGAGATTCGCGCTCGCGCATTATATTAATGTGCTTTCGCGCTACAATAATGCAGTCTTGACATTTGTCATTAAAATAATGCCATATTTATTTTAGGTCAAATGAGTTTAGCTGACAGAAAAAGTTTGGGAATGCTTTGTGTGGTGCTAATTTTAGATATTGTTTATTTGTTTTTGTTTTACTCAAAGCTGCAGTCTTTACGTTTTTTGTGTTCAAAATTTACATAATTTATCCATTTTCCAAACCGTGTTTTTGGCTTACCCTGATTAACTATGGTACACCTATAATAAGTTTTTATATTCAGACTATTTTAGACTGGTTCTGGTTGGAATCGCTGCGGAGTACCTGCGTGATTCGTCATAGACATAAACAGGGAGAAGTAGCTCCAGCTACAATGTTCTTCCACAAGACACATGCAGTTCTGTTTATTAACCGCTAGAGAGCCAAATGTTACGGACTGCAGCTTTAATTAATTATTTTGTAGCTTAATAGCTGCTTTGTCTTTCATGTTTGTACAGATTGCCTTGTTGAACTGGAGCCCATGATGAGAAGATTTGATGAGATTGATTTCTTGGAAGCAGTGTTGGAAGTCAAACGAAGTAAGGTGAGTCTTTAAGGGTTAGACTGACTTTGCATGGATGAATTATGTGTGGAGAAATTTAATTTGAATGCCTATTTTTGTCTACATTTAGTAAATGGAAATAATTTGATTGTATCTTCTGGCTCTTAGGTAAAAAAACAACAACAATTGAATGTATTATAATTTCTCATGCATTCCTTTCCTCAGTATATGAGGCCATCAAGCTGCTGCTCATCGACTCAAACAAACGGAAAAAGAATTGAGGAAAAGATTGTGAAGGAACAAAATGTCCCTTGGCCAGTAAGTTACCTTTATATATACAGTATATACTGTATATATATAAGTCCTGGGTTGTTGATGATTCAGTATTTAAGCAGAGATAAGAGCAGTCTGGTGAGTGTCTTAATTTTTTCATATTACATGACAGGACAACAGTTCCACATCTGGATCAGGATCCTGCTCTTCCCAGGAAGCAGAAATGTCCCATCCGGGCTTCCTTACCATATCAAATCCCTCTCGAGGCAAGGACTCATTTCTTCTAAAAGCGATAGACCACCCAAAAATGAAATTCTTCCATCATTTACTCACCTTCGTGTTGTTCACTAATTGTGTGACTTAAAAGGTTAGTTCACCCAAAAATGAAAATTAGCCCATAAATTACTCACCCTCAAGTCATCCTAGGTGTATATGACTTTCTTCTTTCAGACAAATCCAGTTGGAGTTATATAAAAAATTGTCTTTGATCTTTCAAGCTGTTTAATGGCACTCAGCAGGTGTTGCATGCATCAGTCCAAAAGAAGTTAAATAAAAAGCGCCCATCCATAAAAAAAGTGTCTCACACGGCTCTGGGGGGTGAACAAAGGCCTCTTGTAGCGAATCGATGTGTTTTTGTAAGAAAAATATCCATATTCAAAATGTAATAATCACTTTAATGCCAACAGTTGTACACGGAAGCAGCTCTGGGCGAATGATGTATGAGTTCAGCGTTGGCGCATAATTTATGGGCTAATTTTCATTTTTGGGTAAACTAACCCTTTAATTTCTTCCATGGAAATAAATCGCTGACTGGAAAAAAATCACAATAGGGCTTTTCACACTTGAAATAGTTAAACGCTGTGTCATAAACAGAATCCTGGGTTATTTTGTTTTTAATTTGTGTATAACAATTAATCCTGGTTTTTCATAAGCTGATGTTTCAGTCTGTACATTCCTAAACTCTGGGTTAACATTCTTATTTGGATATATGTGACCATGGACCACAAAATCAGTCATAAGGGTCAGTTCTTTGGAATTGAGATTTATACATAATACATCAAATCTGAATAAATAAGCTTTCCATTGATGTGTGGTTTGTTAGGATAGGACAATATTTGAACATGATCTTTAATTAATATCCTCATGATTTTTGACATAAAAGAAAAATCAATAATTTTGACCCATACAGTGTATTGTTGGCTATTGCTACAAATATATACCCATGATACGTATGACTGGTTTTGTGCTCCAGGGTCACATATGTGGTCTCAGTGTCATTGATTGGATGAATGAACGTACATAAATTATCTAGCATTGCACATCCTCGTATTATACAGTGGTGTGAAAAAGTTTTTGCCCCCTTACTGTTTTTTTTTTAATTGTTTGCATATTTGTCACACTTAAAAGATCCCTTAATCAATTAAATGATCATTTAAAAACTGCATTTTGTATTTACTTGCATTATCTTTGCGTAATATTAAAATTGGTTTGATGATCTGAATCTTTTAAGTGTGACAAATATGCAAAAAATAAAAAAAACAGGAAGGGGGCAAAAACCTTTTCACGGCACTGTATATTGCCGACTGATATTTTACTGAATGGACTATAAAGGTAAGGTCTCTTCTTCACCCCAATTCATGTGTTTTTCATCACCATTTGTCATTTTTTCCCTTAAATGCTGAAACGAATGTTTATATATTGCACGGTGTTTCTGTGACTGTACAAAGCATGTGAATATGGATTAGGTTAGATGTGTGTTGCTAAGCATCTAGTCATAATCAGTTTTGGGTGTAACGCGTTATTAAGTAATTAAATTACTTATCCACTGAAAAAGTCAAGTAAGGGATTATTGTTCATTTTTAGGTAATTTAATTACAGTTACTTATAAAGTACTTGCATTACATACTGTAAATAATTTCAACAGTTCTAAAATCAATATTGAATTTGAAATCTAAATTTACAATCTAAAGATAAAATTTAATGCAGTGTCTTTAACCCTCTGCACGCCGGCACGTTCACTTTCAGTTTTTCCTGATTCACAGAGAAACCTTGAATACTCAGAAAAATACCCATCTAAAAAGGGCCTACTTTTATTTGTGTACACTGACAATAACAACAAAACATTGTGCTTTTGTAAAATAAACAAAACAAACAGGGTGTGCTTTCTGCCGTCTCGGTCTCCGTGAGCAAATTTCTACGCATCACAAATATGAACCGAAACTCAGCGAATACTTGACACAGAGACATGAGAAATATGTCTATAGAAAGCTTGAAGTGTCTACTTTTATATGAACAAATTCAAATCGAAAACGAATATTCCTGATTATGTAATCCGTATGAAACTAAAGCGAGGTACAGTCTTTCCCGTATCTGAAAGCTTGAAGTGTCTACTTTTAAATGAATGAATTCAAATCAAAAACAAATATTTTCTGATTAGGTAATCCGTATTAAACTAAAGCGAGGTATAGTCTTTCCCGTATCTGAACTCATTATATGTAGTCACCTGCGCGCAAACGCCCTCACCTAGATACAAAAAAAAAATCAAGATTCATCTAATTTTCATCATTTTTGAAAGAAGACCTGCTATGAGGAGTAAGCCGGAATTTACCTCAGAAGAACAGCGCAATCTGATGTGGCTTTTTTCAGTGGAGGAGATCTTTTCTGTAATTTATTCTTACCTACATTAATTAAAGTGTTATTTTTACATAAACCTGTCCGGATTTTACTAGTTGGGCTTTTCCTGAACATCTTGCCAAACTGAAATGTATTGTTGAACTTTTCTTAAACTTTTTTGTTATTCAGATATTTTTCAGAGTATTTCTATTTGTTAACCAAAGGAGGTTACATTTTTTTATAAAAAATTTTAAGTTTTACAGTTGTTTTAAAGCTAAAAGGCTAAACTATTCTATGTTTGGCTCAAATTGAAAGAATAAAGAGTTTAATTTCTATTGTCTATGCTTTATGGTTTATAGGGATTTTAATATGTAGCCTAATTAGCGATTTGAATAATTAAGTTACTTATTGAGTAACTAAATTACTTTTCAGACAGAGTAATTAGTAAAGTAAGTTAAATACAATATTGATGATGTAATTAGTAATAGTAATTAATTACTTTTTGAAAGTAACTTACCCAACACTGATCATAATGTTGTAACACTACATTGTTTACACCATACACGTTTTCGCACCACATTGCAGGAGCAAACTCCAGAGCAGTGTTTAATATCAAACTAGGTCATCATTCCTTTCGATTGACAATAACCCAGGGTTAAGCGTAGTGTGAAAAGCCCTAATGAGTAAACAATGACAAAATGTTGGGGTAATGTAATCACATGCACCTAATCTATTCAACTTATTCCCATCTGCCCTTTGGATTCTTTTAACTGGCTCGTTTATTGGTGCTGTTCTACATCATCAGGTGTGTCAGGTGCTCAGGCTGGTCCGCAGGCATCATTAATGTCCCTTCCACTTGATTCTCCAAAGCCTCTTGTGGACCACTGCTCTCGGAACAACCTCAGTCCCGAATACCAGACGGCACAGCCTGTGTCCGACCTCAACATACCTTTTAAACCGCATACGCCTCAGAGTGAAAGCGACCTGGCTCTTGCCATACAACCCCTCACGCTGCAGCCACACCCACAAGGTAACCACAGGTTAGCCAAACCTTGAACAGTGCCGAAGCATCTATAAGATAAATTACTATCAACTTTTCTCTTGACTGTCATCTATATACAATGAATAAACTCTATGAAATTAGTCCCAATGTTGGAAAATTATTTTCTATAAATTTTCTAACCGATTATACCCGATTGTTTATACCCACTGTAGAATAGGTCATTCCAGGATGACACAAGTTTTTAATATATGGGGAAGATCCTCCAACATGTTCTCTTTGCTGAATCCCTTTATCCATTAAGCGTGTTTTATTAGATTGTGCTGGCTTTAACTCTTTGAGAAAACTTTTTTATTCAGTTAACTTTTTTGAAGAGATTTTTAACAGAGTTAAAGGGTTAGTTCACCCAAAAGTGAAGATTCTGTAATTCATTCATTCCAAACCCGTACGACTTTCGATCATCTTTAGAACACAAATTAAGATATTTTTGATGAAATCTGAGAGCTTTCTAACCCTCCATAGACAGCAGGGATATAACCACGATCAAGGCACAGAAACTTAGCAAGGACATCGGTAAAACAGTGGTTCAACCGTAATTTTACGAAGCTACGAGAATACTTTTTGTTCGCAAAGAAAACAATAATTACATAATTTATTCAGCAATTCTTCTCCCCGAGTTACCATCTTCTGCCATTTTGGAGAGTACCCCAGAACGTAATCAGAGTTGTTTACATTCAGTAGAAAGCGCGTGCTTTCTACTGAGCGTAAACAATGCTGATTATGTTGATTTAAAAATTATGCTTCGTAAAATTACGGTTGAACCTCTGATGTCACTTGGACTGTTTTACCGATGTCCTTGCTACGTTTCTGTGCGTTGATTGTGATAGTATCCTTGTGTCTATGGGAGGGTCAGAGAGCGTTCAGATTTAATCAAAAATATCTTAATTTGTGTTCCGAAGATGAACGGAGGTCTTGTGGGTTTGGAACGACATGAGGATGAGTAATTAATGACGGGATTTTCATTTTTGGGTGAACTAACCCTTTAAGCCAAATACAGTTTTGGAGTTTTTAGCAAAAATAAATTATAAAAACATGATATAATTCAGCCAAAATATTTCTCGCCTTGAAAATAACCACAGAAGCTGGAATGGCATTAAACAAAAACAAACAAAACTCTTGACTGTCCTTGCAGATTTTGTCACAGCATCGGACACTCAAGGTCCGGCGGCTCGCTGGATTGCTGCCCGAAGGGAGGACATCGTGCGGCAGATGACGGAGGCGTGTCTCAATCAGAGTTTAGACGCTCTGTTGTCCCGTGAGCTGCTGATGCGCGAGGACTATGAACTGGTCGTGAACCAGCCCACGCGTACCGCCAAAGTGCGGAAGCTTCTGGACACTTGCGAGCGGCATAGCGAGGACTTCTGCCGCGTGGTGGTGCGGAAGCTCCAGGACAACAAACAGATGGGCCTGCATCCCTACCCCGACCTCGGCACCACCAGCCCTCCGCCGCCACCTTATACAGCCCCCAGCGCCCCCTTTCTCTCCCACTCCTTCAACAACACACGAAACTTCTGACCTTCTCCCAACTCCCAATCACTGCTCTTGAACCGGAGCTCCGTGAGTCCTTCTTTCAGTTAAGGATGGTTCCTGTTCAAACGCTCTTACATTTGTTTGTGCTGCTTGGCCGATACTTTGTGTGCCTGGACAAGTGCTTTTGCCCCTGTGGTTAAGGTGTTGGTGCTTATGACACACTTTTTATGGTATCAACTTGAACGCATCGTACAAGGCCGACTATGGTGAAATAATCACTTGGCTTGTGTTGACATAATGCCTAAATCCTTGATGAAAGGGATGCAAATTTAAGCTGTACGGTGGTTTGACATTGTCACGTTTAAACCTTTATTCCAGCCATCAAAATAATCTGGTTGCTGCTACTTCAGTGAAACGCCTAAGAAATCGATCCTGCACTTTTTTCATGCCAGCGAACTTGGTAAAATAGAAGACTTGAGGTAAAGTTATAAAGAAAAACACACCCTCCTGTAATGCCAAGTAACGTCCATATTACTGCACAGTTACATGTCTGGACTTGATGAAAACTCATATGAATCGGTGGTTTCGTTCTTCCTTGTTTTCCACAGTGAGGGCTGTTCGTTGTTTCGCTTTGTGTTGAATGCTGTGTTAGGGTTGGTGGACAGATGCAGACCTTAGTCAGGGTAGATGCAGTTAAGGCTTTGATGGGTTGAAAGTTACATTGTATTCAATGGGTTCAGTCAACAAATACGTCTTGAGAATTAGACATGATCTTGAACATCACCTTTTGAACAGATGGTATGTTGCATACTGTGTATCGTGGCCCTTTTTCATTTGCAACACTTTAAATAAGAAGTTCGAAATACAGTCCATTGGCACACCAGTGGTTTGATGGTTTGGCCATGCAGGGATAGTTCACCCAAAAACGGTTCTGTCGTCATCACCCTCATGTCTTTCCAAACCTATATGACTTTCTTTTGAAGAATGTTTTATCAGTGGGGTCCAGTGTCGATTAGTTTTGAACCCCATTGACTTGTTGTACAAAAACAGTCTTCAGAAGAAAGAAACTCATACAAAGACATGAGGGTGAGTAAATGATGACTTGCAGTTTCACTCAAAAATGAAAATTATTTACACCGAGTGCCAAAAGGTTAGCTTTGACATGTTTGGATTTTTGTGGTCTTTTGACAAATTTGTAAAAAATAATTGTTTTTTTGCCCAGCTGGCAGTGACAGATTCAACAAATCGAGCTCTTTGCCTGACTGTTTTTTCCATTGAGCCAATCAGATGTCATTCTTTCCTTGCTGACTACTGTAGCATCCTGTTCATAAGCAATATTAGACAACACATTCGACGATGCCGAATCAATCCAGGCTGAATAGGGCAGTACACGAGTCTATAATGATGGACTTCACACAAACTGGCTGAAGCCAACTTTACTTACAAGCCTTTTCTTCTCTTATGTATTTGTTGTTCTCAAATGGAATGTCAGTCAAGTATGGAAGCCCGTTTCCACCACTGAATAAAAAAAGAAAGGTAATTGCGACTTTTTATCTGACAATTCTGACTTTTTTCTTGCAATTGTGAGTTTACATCTCGCAATTCTGACTTTTTTTCTTGCAGTTGCAAGTTCACATCTTTAAATTCTGATGTTTTCTCACAATTGCGAGTTATAAAGTCAGAATTGTGAGATAACTCGCAATTCAGACTTTTTTCTTAGAATTGCGTGATTTAAACTCGCAATTGCAAGTTATAGTCAGAATTGCGAGACAAACTCACAATTCTGAGAAATAAAGTCAGAATTGCGAGTTTATATCGCAATTGTGACTATAACACGCGATTGTGAGTAAAGTCAGAATTGTGAGATATAAACTCGCAATTCTGAGAACATATCAGTCTTTTTTCCCCTCAAAATTAGGACTTCATATCTCACAATTCTGAGAAAAAAGTTGCATTTGCGAGAAAAAAAGTCAGAATTTAGAGTTTTTATCTCACGATGCCGACATTATAACTCGCAATTGCGAGTTTATATCTCACAATTCTGAGAAAAAAAAGTCAGCATTGCGAGTTTGTATCACGCAATCCCTAGAAAAAAAGTCAGAATTGTGGGATGAAAAAGTCGAAATAACCTTTTTTATTTTTTATTCAGTGGCGGAAACGGGTTTCCATAGTCAAGAGCATTAACTCAATAATAAATAGGATAACCAGTGACCTGCTTATTGAACCGTATGCGGCCCAGAGTTCACACTTCAGCTTAGATAAGTGTCTTGGATAAGTGCTTTCTTAGTAAGTATTTGTGCCATCTACAGTATGTAGCCTAGTTTGCACTGGTTATCATTGACTCCAGATGTAGCAGCAGACAGAGGACAGTTTACAGCACTTTTAATACATAAAATAGTCTCTAGCATGAAGCAGCTGTATTGAATATACTGATGTTTACATCACATCTGGATAGATTTTAAGAAATGCTACTGGCAAGACGCTTTTATCAAGGAACAATTAGTATTGAGTACTACTGTTTCTACAACCGTCGCCAGTTTAGACCAGCAATTTTTTGCCATGTTGTTCGAAGTTTTGATTTCCAATGTTAATTATGCTTCCTATGTTTTAAGTTTGAAGTTATTAAGAAACTAAACCAAAGGGAATGCCTAAAGCTAGCACTGTAAATATCGGCTCTACTGATCTTTAAAGGGTTAGTTCACCCAAAAATTTAAATTCTGTCATTAATTACTCACCCTCATGTCGTTCTAAACCCGTAAGACCTCCGTTCATCTTCGGAACACAAATTAAGGTATTTTTGATGAATTCGGAGAGCTCTCTGACCCTCCCATAGACAGCAATGCAGTTACCACGATCAAGGTTCAGAAACGTAGCAAGGAGATCGGTAAAATAATCCACATGACATCAGGGGTTCAGCCGTAATTTTACAAAGCTACGAGAATACTTTTTGTACGCAAAGAAAAAAAAAAGACTTTATTCAACAATTAGTTTTCTCCCGTCTCCACCCTAGCACCATTTTGGAGAATATCCACTGAACGTAAACGTAAACAGCGTATGCTATTCAGTGTCAACTGCGTCACACGGATACGTTGTTTTCTTTCAAATCAAAGCATAAACAACGTAGAAAACGTATCCGCGTGACGCAGCAGACACCGAATATCATCCGCTGTTTACGTTGAGTGGATACTCTCCAAAATGGCGCCAGGGTGACGCGGAGGAGACGAATTGTTGAATAAAGTCATTATTTTTGTTTTCTTTGCGTACAAAAAGTATTCTCGTAGTTTGTAAAATTACGGTTGAACCCCTGATGTCACATGGATTATTTTACCGATCTCCTTGCTACGTTTCTGGACCTTGATCGTGGTAATTACATTGCTGTCTATGGAAGGGTCAGAGAGCTCTCAGAATTCATCAAAAATATCTTAATTTGTGTTCCGAAGATGAACGGAGGTCTTACGGGTTTAGAACGACATGAGGGTGAGTAATTAATGACAGAATTTTTATTTTTGGGTGAACTATCCCTTTAAGCAGAACACAAACTGAAATTCATAATGCTGAATAAAATTTGTGCTGATGCTTTGATCTTTTTTGCTTGACCGATGAGCCAGTCATGTACTTGATTAAATGAAGCATTTGATAAGTGTTTTGCGATGTTTTCTTTTTTCAGTGTTTTCAGGCATTGAATTCCTGTGCTGGTGGACTTTGCATGTGTCTGTGCTGTAGACTTCCCGTCTGTGCAAACAGACATTGTTTTAGAGGCTTTGTCGTTACAGAGATGATGTATTTTCCCTAGATTGATTACGTTAGTCCTCTGGAATGCCCTGAAATTGGTTGTTTTATGATTCCTTCTCTAAATCGGTCATGCTGTAGTTTTGGATTTGATTTCGGTTCGTGTCGGAAACCCGTCTTGCTGTTGGTGTTTGATGTTATTGACTTATCAATGCAAGAATCAGATTTTTAGTTAATATTTTAATTTTTTGAGCAGAAAGGAACGGCCTTTTTATTACAGATTTTTATGTTGACTGTCCAGGGTTTGGGACCATTTACAATATAAAGAGTATTTGTGGTCTGTTATTGTTTTGTATTTATTTATAGAGTTTCTTGGTGATAATTTACATGCATCTTAAGTGGTTTGTAATGTTATATATATATATAGTTTTGAAAATATCACTTGCTTCTAAGTGCTGTGCCAATCCGGTGATGCTATGAGGCTGAATGCATCTTTAGATTATTCAGAGGCTGAATATACTTTAGCACTCATCTCAGCAATATATCAGACAAATACTGAAATGCCTAATGGGCTTGTTAGGTCTGGATGCAGAAAATGTTGCATTTTTGTTCATATCACATTTAAATTCACACAGGCTAGGGATTTCTTTGAAATGACTACTATTGATATCAATGTTCGTTTTTTTGCCTTGAAGCTCTTAGACGTAAGATCCAAATAACTTGTCATCTAATATAAAATGAAAATAATGTATAGCACATGTAGCAGTGTACAAGTAGCATACATCTGTGCTCTGGTACTGTGTGAGGAACTTCCACAACAATGGTCAACTTTGAAGTGTTATTAAAATGTGTAGAATTTCCTGAATGTGTGGGGTTTCTTGTTTTTGTGTTGCCTGAAAGTACATTCTGAACTCTTCAATTCCTGAACTGTTTACACGATAGTTGGTACTAATCTGGATTAAGCGTGACCTCTCTCAAAAATAGTGTGCTTTTAAAATCTGTTATTACCTACAAAAGCCATTTCCTCATTGATTTGCATTAGAATTATTGGTCTCTGTGATATCTGGGGCCATATTCCCAAA